CACCTAACCATCTCAACTACCCATTGAGATGATTAGGTGGACAGTTGTATCCCCAACCCACAGTGGTATCTCTCGGAGGTGCTCATAGGGGTAGGGTGTGCGTGTGTGCGTTCATAGGGATGAGTGTATGCGCGTGTATATAAACACTTGTGTCTGTACTGATGCTAAAAAACAATGCACACTACAGCCGAAGCACATTTTTTTTGCAATTAAAATAGGAAACTGCCATTTTATTTGGGCCGGGGTCAGGCCTAGGATTTTTGGGTCGGGCTTAAGCCCATCCATGGAAAAACTGTGTAACTCATAGCCATTTTTACAATGTGTAACTGACGTTTCTAGAAGAAGAAAAAAAACAAGATGTAACTGACAGTTAATATCGTAATTACTAGCCTAAATAAATGAAATAAATATTAGTATTTGACAAAAATATCCGAGATATAGCTGTAACCTGTAAATAGTTGTGCTCATCCTCAGGGTGCCCCTGCCTATAAATAGACATCCTTGTAGGCTTTCTCCAAATGGTATTGTGCGGCGCAAACAAAATTACCCAATCTTAGCATCACTCCCCATCCACATACAACCAGCAAGATCCATGAGGCCACCGGCGGCTCTTATGGTCGCCGCCGCCATCCTTCTCATGTTGGCCGGTGTCGACGCGACCGTGGAAACAACCTGCAAGGCGGCGGCCGACGAGGACGCGCATGTCAACTACGTCTTCTGCGTGTCGGAGTTGAGCAAGCACTACCAGAGCTCCGACGCAGACACATGGGGCCTGGCCAAGATAGCGGCTAACATGGGCGTCAACAACGCCTATGGCGCCATCCACGACATCGAGCGCCTACTAGCGAAGCCGGGCATGGATGCCAAGACGAAGGTGACCCTTGGGCAATGCCAGGGGCTGTACGACAACATGAAGTTCACGTTTGCCGGAGCCTACGACGAGATCAACGGCCGAAATTACGCCGCGGGGAAGGAGGAGGCCGCAAAGGCCGTCTCCCTGGCGCACCAGTGCGATGATGCCTTTGTTAAGGTCGCCGTCCCGTCGCCTCTCAAGCAACGTAGCCTCTACTCCGTGCAGACAGCGATAGTCTGCACGGCCATCACTAACCTTATCAAGTGATGAATAGCATCATGGATCCAAATCGTGGCAGAGTTTAGAGGTCGGATCAAACTTGTAGCGATTACTACTCTGAACCTTTGTAAGGTACATGCAAGGAATAAAACATGTTTTCGTTAGTTGTGGGTTTAATTACATGCCTAATAGAGTTCTCAATGCATCTTGATTTGCTTTCTGCTCTTTCAAAAAAAAACGCGCATTAAATTTCGCACACCCTTTCAATGTGCTATATTTATTTTGCTTGTAACGTAGCCAAAGAATTGTCTTATGCCCTCGTGGTTCTAAGCCTGACAGTAGAGTGGGGGGTAGGTATGGAGAGGCAAGGTCCTAGCTATGGAGAGGTTGTAAACACAAGGGATGTATGAGTTTAGGCCCTTCTCGGAAGAAGTAATAGCCCTACGTCTCGGAGCCCGGAGGCGGTCGAGTGGATTATGAGTATATGAGTTACAAGGTGCCGAACCCCTCTACCTGTGGAGGGGGGCGGCTTATATAGAGTGCGCCGGGACCCCAGTCAGCCCACGTAGGAGAGGGTTTAAGGTGAGTTAAGTCCGGGGCGTTACTGATAACGCCCCACATAAAGTGTCTTTACTACCATAAAGTCTACTTAATTACAGGCCGTTGCAGTGTAGAGTGCCTCTTGACCTTCTGGTGGTCGAGTGAGTCTTCATGGTCGAGTCCTTCAAGTTAGTCGAGTGAGTCCCTCGTTGGTCGACTGGAAGGCGACCTCTTCTAAGGGTGTCCTTGGGTAAGGTACTTAGATCAGGTCCATGACCCTACCCTAGGTACGTGACCCCATCATTAGCCCCCGAATGGATTGAGGCTTCGAGTGAGGAAGGAGTTGATGTCGTTTCCGATTAACCTTTGCGCTCTGGTTGTGCGTTGTTCTGGACCAAAGAATCTCTTCGTCTATAGTGAGCAACTTGTCTTCAGTCGACTCGATCCATTCTCTTCTTTCGTCGAGTGATCTTTCGGACTTCGACGATCCCCGAGCGACGGATCGCGGGAAACTCCGCGTCTGACAGACTGATCTGCTGTTCGCGGATTCTGCGGGATGCGAAATTTGGGGACGCGCGCGAAGCGGAGCGGACCGTGGCGTTCAGATGGGACGGGACATAGACGCCTCGATCTCCGCGCCGCTTTCTTCGCCACGTATCCCGTCTGCATAACTATTCCTGGATATGATTAGATCGACCGGGCCCACCTGTCATCC